ATGTATTATGTTCCTTTTTAAAAATTTTTCTTTGTTTTATCACCTGCTTCCCAATCATGAATATAATACAAGAAGCCTTAATTTGAATTTGCCACTTCACAGATTGTCTATAACACAGAGAAGTCCTTTGTATGCATGTGTTAAATTTTATAATAGTCTACCATTTGACATTAAACAGGAAACACACTATAGAGCTTTTAAAAGAAAGGTTTTTCAACACCTAGTTGACATTGAGCCCTATACTGTGGCGGAGTACCTGGCCTATCCTTCTCCTTGATCAGTATATTTAATTTGTAATGTTAATATATTTTAAATGTGTGATGTCAATATAAATATTTTTTTAATCTGTAATTAATAATGTGACGTTATTTGCTCAATTATGTTTAAAAATTTATGCAAATAAAAATTTACTCTACTCTACTCTACTACTACTCTACCATTATGGCATTAGAATTATATTTTAGGACCATTTAGAAAAATAGTGTAATCAATAGTTCTAAATTTTTATATATTTAAACATAATACTTGTACACTATGTGAATATTTATGTATCAAATTGTTCCCTATCTATCCATTTGGCTTAACGCACAGTGAAGGGCTAGGGCTTAACAATTACAGAACACAAACTCCATACTCCAAACAACAAGTGTACAATAATAAATAAGTTTATATTTAAATTAGCAATCAGAACACAATGTTATCCAATAGGATAATGAGTTGCCTTTAGAGCTCAGTACTGCTCATGTCACATTATAAGGCCTTCTCCATTGACAGTTCCTCTTCAACCATTTTGTAGATCTGTTGGCTAATTTCTCTTGAGTCTTCTGGTAAGGAGCTCTAGTAGTTGATGAACTAGCAAATTTGTGTAGGATTCTAATTTATTATGGTATTTTGTGCTTAGACTTTGAATTGCGTCTTTAGATTACATATTTTTAGGTCTTCATGAATATTCTGAATTGACTTCTTTGTATAAAAGAGATGTTCTTGCTTGCGCATCCCCATAATTCCGCCCCATTATCCAAATAGGTTTCGTGATTGTTTGATAATTAAGAAGTTTGTTTTCTAATGATACTTTGGATTTTCTTCCCATTAGGCAGTAAATATTTTTTTTTTTTTATTAGAAAAAGATGTCGCATCCACCAAAAGGTCATTAGCGATGGAACAAAATATAAATAACAAAGTTAGACACCTACAGATTGTACAAAATGTTTATGGATCTGAGATAATTCACTATATTTTCATAGGAACAGTTTTGACTGATCACATATAGGTGGATTATTCTTTGTGAAAAGGTAGGAGTGCGTTAATCTGGTATGTCCTAGACGTAAACGCGCAACCGCAATTTGTTCCCGTCTATTGCGCGACGATGGAAACCACTGAGACACATTATTTTTAATTTTATTTAGATTGGAATTAGTTTGAGACCACTCATTTTGCCACAAACACAACACTTTATTTTTAAAATAAGCTAAGTTACTGGAAACACACTTGTCTATCGGGTCCGACAAATCACTTAAAATAGCCTCTCGTGCAATCCTGTCAGCTTCTTCATTTCCTGTTATTCCAATGTGTGAGGGAACCCATAAAAATTGGACGCTTCTTCCATGTTCATGAGCTTGGGAAAGCTGGTATTTTAGCAACTTTTCAAAAGGATGTTTTGAAAAAAATGTGTTTTAATGAGTTTAGAGAGCTAAGGGAATCTGTTACCTATGATAAGAGCTTTTGTGAGTGTAAGCTCGTTAAGAAGTTTCACAGCACGGTATATGGTGTAGAGTTCAGCTGAATATGGGCTGCATGCTGAGGGTAAACGGAAAAGAAGATTGTTTTCTGAAGAAACGATTGATGCCCCCACTTCATCTTCGGATTTAGATGCATCTGTGTAGATTTTATGGTAGTCGGGGTACTTATTTATAAGGGCCTTAAACTTGGACCGAATCAGAGAATGATGTGTATTAGATTTATCTATATACTCTAGAGATGCATCACAAGTTGGTATATCGATCAGCCAAGGCTCGGGGTATTTAATATCCGAGGAGAAAACCTCCGGAAAATTAATGTTTAGGTTTTGAAAAATGCATATTCTTTCGTAATATGGTTTTTTAGTAAAGCGAATATCTTGGAATAAGTTTACATATTTATTTGTAAAGGTATTTTGATATATTGGCTTTGAAATATTTCCAGCGACTGAGGCTGCATGTGATAGAGTGAGATACATGCGGCGGTGATGTAGCGATGGTTCTCCTAAAAGAGCATAAATGCTGGATACAGGTGTAGTTGGGAAAGCCCCTAATATTAGTCTAAGACTTTTATTATGAATAATATCTAATGATTTTAGTAGAGATTTATTATCAGTGGAATAGGCAATTGCTCCATAATCTAGCTTAGAATGTATTAAAGATTTATACAGGAGGAGTAGAGTGGATTGGTCTGAGCCCCAGTTTTTATTACAGAGAGATCTTAATATGTTTAATCTTTTATTACAGGAAAGGATGAGTTGTGAGATGTGATTTTTCCATGTTAACTTTGAATCGAAGATTAAACCCAAGAATTTGTGGTGATCTCTAAACTCCAGCTGTTTCTCATACATTCTTAGGTTAGGAGGTTGTGGCAGTAAATAATTTGTTTGCATTTTTTGGTTGTTTTCTTTCCAGGTTAGTCCTCTGTCTAGGCGAATTACTAAATATTTCTTGTTTGTGAAATGTGATATTTGTATGTTGTTTAGGTGCACCTTCCATTTTTGTAGTTATATTTGAATTTGATCCAAATGTTGTTGGAGAAGAGCGAATCTCTGGCTGGATTTGCGTTGTTTGCAAGGATAACAGTGTCATCAGCAAATGTACTTATTGTGGTTTCTCTAGTAACAAGAAGGTCTGTTGTGTATAGTACATAATAGGTAAATAAAAACTTCCTTGTGGTACAGTGGATTTTATGGGAAGTCTGTCTGATGTATGTTCATTAAATTTTTTTCTAAACTCTCTGTCACTTAAATAAGATTTTAATAATTTGAAATTTTATTCTTCAATTTAGTTCATTGTAGAAACTTTTAAAATATGGAATGGCCATTAGGCCTTAACAGGATATCTACTATTTCAGCAACAACTCATACCTTAGAGGACATAATCTTAATTTATTAAAGAAATGTAATAAATTTTTAAGAAGAAATTTTATTACAGAGTGGTTTGATTACCATTGGAATAGATTGAGTAATAACGCAATTAGTTCAAAAACCAATCCAAAAATTGTTTAGACCAAGCAAAAGGAAAAATTAAATACTGCAAATGCCCTAAATTATCGAGTATAATAACCATACACAAATACAGTATAATATCCATTCTATTCAATTAAGTTGGACTTTTTTATTTTTAGTTTTATGAAAAAGTTATTCATTATAAAAATTTCTGAATGTTGTAAAACCTAAAATACAATCATCAAATATTAAATTTTTTCAGTCATATATGTGGTTTGTCAAAAAATATGAATTGTGGATAATCTGTGTATATGACTAAAAAATTGAATATCTGATAATCATATTCTAGGTTTTAGATCATTCAGAACTTTTTATAAAGAATAACTTTTCCTAACTAAGAAAAAGTTCTCCATATGGTCCAATTAAGCATGCACCGTCGGGGGAGACATGTCACTGGACTATAAAAACCGTAGTTAGTGCTGTGATATGAAACATACAACAAGCAAGTATTTCTGGTAACCCTTTTGGGTATTTCAAAGAAGAGACATTATTTGAGCATTGATATTTCATATTACCACCTATGCTTCCGAAACTTGAATAAAAAAAGCTGATTCAAAGCTTATAATGGCATTTGAAATGTGGGTCTACAGTAGAATGTTGCGCATACCATGGACTGCCCATCACACAAATAACTCAATTCTAGCAGAACATAACATAAAAACTAGACTCATCACAACTATCAACCAAAATATACTGAGATATTTTGAACATATAACTAGAAAAAGAGAAGACATAGAGCTAATGATAGTTGAAGGTAACATAGCGGGTAAAAGATCCAGAGGAAGATCTCCAGTACAATGGTCGGACCAAATAAGGGAGATGACTGGTTACTCATTCTCCAAAGCAAAACAATACGCACAGGAGAGAGATAATTGGACAAAAATAGTTAAACAATTTACATGACTCCACTACATCCTTACAAAGGAGAAAATATTGAGGAGGTCAATAAAGTATATTTCTCCCCTTGACACATACACACTTAAAATGTGTGTCTTAAAAAACTCATATGAGGAATTTTCAGCTTTAAGAAATAGGTGCACAGGCAATATGCTATAGAAATTATATAAATAATTTTCAAGGTAGTCTTGCAAGTGATCCTAGATCTCTTTGCTGTATGTAAATGGTACATGAGGATGAGGTACTTATCCTAGTGTAATGTCTCATGAGGATTCAGTAGCACAGAATTTACAGAACATGGCTGAATTATTGGATACTTATTTTTTACTTATTATGATCATATGATGTTAATAAGTATAATATATCTGATTTCCAATTGGAGACTCTGGAACCTAGCCTGAGTGATGTGTTTGAGGACATCAGTATCTCATAGGGCTCTCATTGAGATCCTGCAATTTTAAATCTGTTTATAAATGATGTGGGTAATGAGGTTTGCTCATGACAATTCAGATAGTCATCCCTTGCTGAATGATTTATATAATGATTGTGTATGGGTGCAACAAAATGGTTTGACCTTAAATCCATGTAAATGTTCATGTATTTCTTTTGGCCATACAAGTAATTTGACACCTATATGTAGGGTATAAGGCATTATTTCACTTGATAAAAAATGATGCATTAGGAGACTTTCATCAAGATTTGTCAATAATAATTAGAAATATCATATGTTTTGAATGCAGACTGTATTTACTATCAATTTGTGTATGTAGATGTAATTTTAGTAATTATAGTGATATTTTAACAGTTTTGAATTAAAAGATTACTATGCTAGAGTCAAAATAAATAGAAATCTTACCTTAGGAATATCCAATTCTTCTATTTCTAGGATAAATATATCTAATCTGTCTAGAATATCAGCAGACAATTTAGCAAGCATAACAAAGAACAGTAGGTAATGAAAAAAAATACAGTATTTCAGTCTTGACTTATTCAATGCGCTAAAAAAATAACAATTAGCATTTTTCAATTACCTCTAAGATCTTGGCATATTCTCAAGACTCTTGGCAAAACTATTCTGATAGGTAAGGTTATAAAGTTTACCTTGCTTGATAATGGGTTGCCACTCTTTGTCTATGTTCAAAATCGGATCCATCTGTACCAGCTGGAGTTATCGTTCGTCCTATAGTAGCCATTTTTTCAAATTTCATACAAAATTCAAACTTTTCCAATATTTATCCACACTTTCAAACAACCAGGTATACGATGGTGTCACCACCGCACACCACTGACACTGGGTGACAGCATTATCGCCGTGTCAGCTGAAGCTGTCAAGTTGGCATACATCAGTGTTGCCGTTTTTATTTTCATAGTAATCAGGAACGGCAAATATGTTCTAATAATATATTTATCCAGTTAAAGGAAGATATTGTACTTAATAATATATAAAAATGTATTTAAATAACAAACATATAATTTTATTAAGAAACATTCTAATGGCATCAAACCATCTCATTCAAACAATTTATATGAAACTGTTTTCTTGTAGCAATTTTAAGTTAAGAATTGTGTTTATATGGAATAACGTCACAATTAATTGTATGAAAAATACATTTTATATTTGTTTTGACGTTTCGACTTCCATTTTTTAAATCGTTTCAAAAAAAAATAAATTTTTTTGAAAACAAGTGTTTTCAAAAAAACATTTTAATTTTATTTTTCGATGCAAATAGGATGACAGTGACAGGCAATCTGTCACGACAAGGCAATCTGTCACTGTCACTCTATCAAATTATTTATTTATATTATAAAAATATTTAGTAAGTGTATTATGAGTGTATTATTAGACTATTCTAATTACTATATAGCACATACTTTATTCCTTTTATTATTATTTATAAATACATAAGTATATTATGGTTTACTAATGCATTCTTTCTGTGACATTGCAGAGTTGTGAAGGAAATTAAATACAGAGCTGAAGGTTCCAAAATTCTTAGAATGGCAGTAACAATTAAGGAAATATGTGATAATATAAGGCTGGCCCGGGAAATGTCTATGTTAGGAAATTATGAAAATGCTGAAGTTTATTTTGAAGGTTGTCTGCAGATGATCTCCAAGCTCATTTTAATGATAAGTGAACCTCTAAGGAAAAATAAATGGCAACAGGTATGTTAGATTTCCTGTTTTAGATGTTAATTTCCTTGTAAAGTTTTTTTATAGATAAAGTGAAAAACACAGAGGAACAACAATTTAGTTGTCTTAAATCTGCTCGTTTTTGAATCATTTTGAAACTCTTGATCCAAAAATAACAACAGTTTTTGTATAACACATCAAATTTTGAAGTCACAGTATACCCTCGCTTTTTGTTAAAAGTTGTACAAAATGAACATAAAGGAAAAAGGAGAATACTTACCAAATATACAGTTTGCAAATAGTAGTTTTATTGTATAAAAAGCAAAAAAATATATAAATTCTACAAATTAAATTATATTCACAAAAAAAGAAATTTTTTCACAAATAGTAAGTCTGTTATGGTAAACATTTTTGACTATTTTTCTGGATGTGAGGAATAGAAAGCTTACTAAATATATTGTTTGCAAGGTGTAGTTTTATTATATATGATACAGTGATACAGAACTATATATAATTACTGCAAATTCAATGTTTACACAGATTACATATAACTACATTTCAGCAAAAAATTCATCAGATGTGGCATTACTACTGTGTACATTATTTTAGGTATGGTAGACTGAAAGGCAATACCTATGAAATTATACATATTTGTTTTGTCTCCTGATTTATGGATAGTAACTAAATATACTCAGTTCGCTATTCCCAGTCCCAACTGTCTAGTAGTCTAGTGAATTTAGTAATTATTTTTTGCGAAGTTAGTTACTTTTTGACAGACTAAAAGTGGCTGTAAATTACTATACAACCAAGCACACATACTCATAGCCAATATTAATAGTAAATAAACTAAATAGTAAATAAAGTAGAACTTTGAGAATTACTGACAATCAATATTTATTTATCTGCTCCATATAATAAATAGTTATGTTAAATTATAACAACTAAACTAAACTTGCATGCATAGAAATCGGCCCACTGTAAACTTTTGACTTTAACTATATTTTTTTCAAGAAATATTCATCAGATCACAAAAACACTATTTGAAATACAATTTAATATGCTTTAATGTGAGTATAAATTTATGAAAACTTATTTCGGCTTCCTATGTTTAACATAGTGAAATGAATTCATTAAGCAAATTAAGCTCTTTTATTATTAACATAAATAGGGTTATTGACAATTTAAAACTTAACACTTAATTTTTTAATAATGGGTATGACCTCCTCTTGCCCTAATAACATCTCTCATACGATTAGGCATAGATCTAATCAAGTTTGCTATTGTTGCTTGTGGGATGTTAAGCCACTCTTCTTCTACTGCAAGAATAAGCTCTGGGATCGAGTCTGGGATATGAAGTCTAGCTCGAATTCTTCGTTTTAGCTCATCCCATAAATGTTCGATCAGATTTAGGTCAGGACTGTTTTCTGGCCAGTTTATAACCTGAAAACCGACTTCTGCAATGTAATCTTGCACGATTCTTGCAGTGTGTGCCCTTGCATTGTCTAGCATAAAGATAAATTCGTCTCCAATGTAGTCGACGTAAGGTACCACATGAATTGCTAAAATCTCCTTGATATATCTGGCAGCCGTTAAACCTCTTCTTCCGTGAACACGGTCGTCCCTATGAATGAACTCAAGATCGGTTCGTGCTCCTATAGAAATTGCACCCCAGATCATGCAGGAACCACCCCAATAAGCACTCCGCTCTTCAAAGCAGCATTCTGCAAAGCTCACTCCTGGTCTCCGGTACACTTTCCTTTTTCGGTCGCTACAGGTATATTTTGGTCTCATCTGAGAACAGAACAGATCCCCATTGTTCCAACGTCCAATTCCGATGATCCTGTGCAAAACGCAGGCGTGCTTGCCGATGAGCTGGAGTAAGTTTTGGACCAATCGCAGGTGTTTTAGGGGTCAGGATATTTTCCCGCATTCTTCATCTTACTGTCCACTGACTAACAGCCACTCTTCGCACCTCACGGAGCTGTCGTTGCACCTGAACGGCATTAAGGTGACGATTTCTTAATGTTGTTGACACAATAAAGCGGTCATCACGAGCGGTTGTAAATCGCAGTCTGCCTGTTTCAGGTCGCCTATGAAAGTATCCAGTCTCCTCATAACATTGGCACACTCTTCGAACCACTGCGCGTGTCATATCCAATTGTCTAGCAACAGCTCGCTGACTAAGTCCATTTTCGATTAGAGCAATAACTTGGGCGGCTTTTTGTGGTGTAGTATGCATTAAACCAACACACTTGAACACTGCTGAGATGATGAAAAACGAATAATATGCAAATTTCACTTGCAAAGGCAATACTTTTACAATTAGACAAATTTGTTATTTTCGTGACAATCACCATATAAACACATTTCATTTGTTTACCGGTTACTACGCATGTAAACGATAAGCCTTCTTAATAAATTTATACTCACATTAAAGCATATTAAATTGTCTTTCAAACAGTATATTTGTTTTTGCGATCTGATGAATATTTCTTGAAAAAAATATAGTTAAAGTCAAAAGTTTACAGTGGGCCGATTTGTATGCACGCAAGTGTATATTTTTTAAATATATACTAACCAAAATAATGATGGGTTTAGTATGCACTTCCACTATTTAGAATACTTCTTCTTTTTTTCAAAGAAAGAAGTCTGCAATAGTAGTATACTTAAGTTATTAATACTGAGAAATAGAAAGTGTTGTTTTGTAGGTTTCTGACATTGAATCTGTCAAAATATGCCCGAGCTAAGCGAATGGAGTATAACTATTTTTCCAAAAAGTTGTAAAAACTAAAGGCTTTTACAATTAGTTGAAAATAAATAAAACAGAATATTTAGGAGAAAAAATTTACAAATAAGTACATTTGATAAATCAGAATTTTTGTTATAGTTGGTACCATTGCAATACACTGATTTTAGGTAAACATTACAGTTTCTTATTGTGTTTATGTGCCCAGAAGGATTTTGGTTTGTGAGATAAATAATATGAAATGGATATAATCATTATAAAATTCAGCATCAAAAATTTTAGAGTGACAACACAATTCAGAAAGTCAGGTAGTCTTGTCTGCTTCTTGTTTGCTTAAGCTTTCAGAAAGGAAATTTATAAGAACATTTGACTGCTTTACATTTGGTAAATAAGTAAATAGAGAGAGAAAGTATTATGACAATTACTTAGGAAACATCCATAAACTACTTCATAAAAAAATTGGACTTTTCTGTCTTTTCCTTTCGTCATAAAATGTTGTTTACAGTCGAGGTCCTCCCTCATGTTGATGTCGCAATAGCAACTCATGAACCTCCCCATGATTTTTTTTAGCCCCCCCCCCATTTAGCTAAATCATACAATAATAGGCAAGATCATGGTACAAGAATAACAGGTATGATACTCCCAAGAGAAAAATTGGGACGAGTTCGAGCATTACGTCACAATGAGAGAGATTTTAAATATTTCCCGTAAGAACGTTAGCAATCATAACGCAATTAATTTTTAATTAGCAATAAAAAGTCATTTTAATGGATTAATGTAGTTTCTATTGAACTATTCCGGATTTATTAAAATATAGGTGTTTTATTATTTTGATTGAAAAAAATAATAATACAGTGAAAAAAAAAACATAAATCTGTAAAATAAATTTGTGAGCTTTTTGGTGTTTTTTGATTGTTAATCCTATAAAGGTAATCTTCGTAAATTTTACGAGCTAGCTTTTGATTGTATTGTCTTATTTGGGGCCAGTATCGAGGAGGAAATAAGTCTTCGTCTAAACGTAAACAGAAGAAAATAATTTATCATTAATTATCTGCACTAAAATCGGAAAACAAATCAAACACAAGGTTTTAAGTTACAATTTTTATTAATTTTCTTTTATTGCTTATATCTTCTTTAAGTTTTATATCGTCTTTGATTCAACATGCAGCAATTAATGCTGCAGATTTCTCTTAAAGTCTTCCGGCTTAAATTGTTTGGAACAAATCCTTGAAGTTTTAGTATTAAATTTGTCTTTACGGCAACAAGCAATAACCCACAGTTTTTTCACTACCGAGTCCTTGTGAAAACTATATAACCTATCAGATTTATCTGCACCTTTTGTCTGATTATCACTTAAACAATTAGCTACTGCACAACGCAGTTTACGTTTACTTTGTAAACTATTCCTA